AGTAATTTATCGATGCATGTACAGGACAGAGTTTCCTCTGAAGATATATTCTCTTTGCAATATCTCCTGAGATATTAAAGATAATGAAATACATTTTTAAAATTTTTTTTATTACTCTCACGGATAAGGATTAAAAATATTTATATTTTAATTAAATTTGTATGTTTTGGTAAAAAACTACTTTTATTTTATTATTTCCAAAATAATTGAAGGTAGCCAATTTTAAAGAATTTATTCTTCTGAACATATTGATATTTCTACTTTTTATTTTAATTCAATTCGTGATTTTCAATAATTTTTTAAGTTCACAGACAAATTTTTATAATAATTATGCAGCAGACTCGAATCACATTTGCTAATTAATTATTATTAACATTATTATTAATACAATTATTATTATAATTGACTGTACACGTTTTTACTTTGAATTTTAAAAACAATTATTTAAAATCACGAATTAAATGAAAATAAAAAGTGGATACGTTAAAATTTTCAGAATTATTAAACTTATAAATTATAAATTGGCAATTTTTAAATTTTTTTAAAATAATACAGTAAAAACTTCTTTTTTTTTTAAGTTTTTACCAAAACATAAAAAATTCGTTGAGATATAAATATGTGTAATCCTTATACCTGTGAGTATTATAAAAAATGAAAACCCGCAACAGAATTTGATTATTTTTTTTTTTTATGTCAGGAGATCGTACGATTAATATACTTCCGAGGGACACCCTGCATACACAAACTAAATTGCCTGTATATCCTAATTTTCCAAATATCCGCCTACAACAGTAACAACATTATGTACCTACTCGTTTCGTTTTACATGATTAATATATATACTCGTGCATCGCACTGACAATACATTATAATATTATTACTCAAAACAGTATGCCGGGTACATTCAGTTGGTAAAGTAATCGGATGAAATACAAAAATGTTTAATATTAGTTTCACTGACACGTATCCCCGAGAAAATTATCTGTGACAACCGTCACGCTTGGGGGGGAATGCAACAAAAATAATAAAATAAACGACTTACAATACGACTGTCACTGTATTTTTCGATTATCGTTTTGAAAAAGAATTTACTGCCGTACCATTTTCAGTGTTTTTGATTTTTAGTTCTTTATTTTATTTTATTTTTTTAATACTCAGAAAGTAATAAATGTAAGCAACTTAATGACAAAAATAAATGTATCAATTTTAGAATTCGGATTGAATTGCGCTCTCATTCTATAAAACTGAAAAGTACAGAATAATGATCATATGCTCCAATGATAACATATAATATATACAATATAGGTAGGTAACAATTATTTTCACAGCGAATCCAAGTAGACTTTATAAATATTAAAATTCAAAAACTCCAGTCAATGTATCCTACCCAATGCAGTTTTAGGATTCGGAGGATTCGGTATTTTTTGAAAAAAAAAAATAGTCAAGGTATTATAAAAAAAAAGCTGACACTGCCGATGAGAGGTGCCACTATTTTAGGAGGAAAGTTGGGAAGGAGGATATATTATAGAGTAATTTAATTTATTTCTGTACGCAACGATGAACGATTCTGTGCAGAGTAATATTTATAGTATTCTTCCTTGTTGTCAAGGTAACTTTTAAGTCAATAACTATAATAACAATCGCCAGTTTTCCCATTTATTAAGAAAAATACAAAGAATTTTAAAAAAAAAAAAGTAACCTCCTAAATGGACTAATTTGATGATAAATTGATACAAGGAAGTCTACACAAAGTATTCGATTGGAGCAAAACGTTTTATAAAAAAGTTGTTCACAGACATACACAAAAAAATAGCTAATGCTGCTAATGAGTGTATCATTTTCGTAGGTGAGAGGTTGAGGAGGTAGAATATACAAGCGAATTTAATGTATATCTGTACGCAACGGAATACCTTTGCTGCTAACGAAAAATAATTGTGAGAGGAGTTTGGTTAAACATGTTTAAAAGGTCGTGATGTTTACGATTTTCGTCAAAATTTGTTATTAAAATTCTTGTAAAAAAAAAAAAAAAAAATACTATATAACACTCTATTTTTTTGACCACGAAGTACGACTGCTTAAAGTGAACGACCTATTAAATTTCCAAAAAATTCTGTTTGGTTTGGCTATTTTATCCACAGAGTAACTAGTAGGGTTTATGATTTCCTACGGGTATTTAAAATATACGGGCACACGGATAGACGTGTATTTAAATACATGTGTGTTAAACTGTGTATTTATAACTACAATAGCATTTACTGTTACACGTGTATTTAAGTAGAAATAAACGATATAAAAATAAATGTATTTCATTTACTATCATTTATTTCTACTGAGAAATTATTTATTTATATATTTATTAATGAGTATTAACCATTTAATAATTTTTTTAATATTTAATTATTTAATAATGCCCGCGATTTTGACATTGACCGTTGCAAGATCACGTCCAGTAACGTAGAATATTAATATTCAGACACAATGACATAATTTTAAGTCAAATAAAATCACCTGTCCAGCATATACATAAATGTTACATTAGATAAAAGGTTTTTTTTTTACATAAAATAATAATATTATAATGCAAACGGCTATTTATTCATGATGATAATAATCTATATTGTGGAAATTAACTTCACTTATAAAAATAATATTGATAATAACAGTAACCTATACAATATTTAAACGAATTTTCATGTACTGGTGGGACTACGGGATCATTACGACGACATTTAATATTAATCCATAATTTGAAGCCAATAAATTCTCAATCAACAAATTCTCAGTCAACAAAGTACGTTTATTTGTTTTAATTTTTGTTACGATGTACTATATACGCGATATCATAGTTTGTCGGCCATACTTAGTTTTGAAATAATATTTTGCAAATTGATTTTTTAACGGTTATATGAAAATATTTGTTGATTGATTGGTAATAAAATAAAATTACCTCCCAAAAGTACCATCTCGTACCAAAATGCAACAATAAAGGTTTCTTGTAACACGATTAGAGGTCGGAACTAGGAGATATCTTGTACAAAGGATATAAAAAATAAAAACATCATGTAAAACCAATACATTCCACGCTACGCTCTGAATTTAAAAATGTATTTAGTGGTACCTATATCTTATTTTTATAAGGGTTTAACGAACAAATTTTCACATTAAATCACGTGTATTATTAAATACACATGTAATAGTAAATACACGGATCAATGCACGTGTTTCATAATTACACGTGTACCCGTGTATTTAAGTACACGTGAATTAGTAAGCCCTAGTACTTACCGAATAAATATTACATAAAAGCTCGCAAAATTAAAATGTCTATAAATATCTCAAGGTTAGGTTACGGATGTGATAAAATTTGACTACATTTATAAAAGGCTAACATACGTTTTTTGCCCAAATTCCAAATCTCTAAAAATATTCTTAACTGAATTACAACAAAAAAAAAAAACAAAATTGAAAGCAATAAAAGCACTATTTTCGTAAATATTTCTGTTTTTCCTATATTTTTTCCAATTATTTTAAAAACTGCTTGGAAAATCAAAAATAATCTTTTTAAAGTACCAACTAGATAAAATTTCCTTCCAGAAAAGGTGCTATACTTGAAAGCTGGAATAAGTTTTCTGGTAGAATATTTGTAGACAATATAAAAAAAAAATAAATATCATTTTAAAACCCGCAAATTCCTCTCTCCACTATGAATTTAGTAGTTAAATCAAAAATAAGCCCACATCTTATTAAAATCAATACATTCCTCGCTGCCCAATCATTATTCCCTAAAACTTACGTTTGATCCAATCGCAGTATGACAGTTTTTTTTAAAAATCATTTTACGATGAAAGTGGCTTGTGTTCAAGCAATTAGTTTTAAACTTCAGTGTAGCGAGGACACATTGGTTTTATTTTAGTGTGTTTGTGTGTGTGTGTGTAGGTATGTGGCTTAGGTTTGGTTACCTTCTGAGTTAAATGAGAAAGATAGAGTACTATGATATATACTCTTAGAGTAATTTAATTTTTGTCTCTACGATAAATTAGCTAACAAAAATAATTTTGAGTGCACTTCTATTGAACGTGTTTTAAAATAAAATGATTTTTCACATCAGATCTAGAATATGCTAATATCCGATAATATAAGTATTCGGTGAATATAGGTTTTTACAATAATTATTCTTATTGAATTACAACCAAAAATAAAATTGAATATTACAGAAATCATTTTTTCTGTCATTAGAAAACTATAATGAAAATTAAAAATTTCCAGCGTCGGCAAAAATTTCAACATAAAAGTGTTTTGTTGCTTTTTGATTATAGCTAGATTTCCAGTAAAAATGCTGTTTACAAATTCACTCGGAATCTAAAAAAATTCTCGTGAGCAGTAGAGATCCGTCTCCAGTAAAATTTACTCTATCAATTTTGTATAATAGACATATTATTTTTAAAACCAGAAATAACCGATTACTATCATAGTATACTGTTTACTATAATCATACTACTTCCGAAAATATAATGACATTTAACATTAAAAATGGTTGGGAAGTGGGTTAAATGTTGAAACTCCCAAATAGCTCATTATTGATACTTACACCATTTATATACAAAAGTTCACACAAAAAGTTAAAGGACACATTCCTCCATTAGCAATATAATGAAATTCATTCAAAATGTTATCACTACAATCAGTCCACACATTTTCTGAGATCGAGATCATTTATAATAAAAGAAGCCGCTAAATGTGTCCAAAAGAACCGTGAAAATGATAATAACCCAGTGAAATAATTCTCTATTGTCAGTAAAAATTTGAAAAAAAATGGTGAAAATTTGATGAATAATTTCTGAATGACCATAGTAACAGCAATATTATCGTATAACATCATTGTACAGTAAACATTTCATATACGTGTTTTGATTTTACGTATTGAAATCGTAGTTTTCAGTAAATTCGTAAATTTATTTATTTTGTAACTTCGAACATTTATTGTCCATTTACTTATCACGATGAAGGCCGACGTTTCGTCTGGAGTACGGTCTCTGGAACCGCAGTACTATTTCGGGTTGACCGTCGGGTCCGGTAACAACTGTTTTTTCCTGAACGATGAAAAGATTGTTTACCGCGCTGCCGGTGTAATCGTTGTGCACGACCTCTTGAATCATTCCCAACAATACGTGTACTTGACCGATTCGCAAAAAACCATCACGACAATGGATCTCAATCACGGCAAGTACGTCCTGATCTTATATTTTACCTACACAATTACTATCACGTTTCAGGGATCGGGCACATGGCCTTTACAAATAATTGTTAACAGCTATTTAAAATTTACAATTAACAAGTCTTAAAAATCTTAAAGAAAAAAGAAATAGTGTAATCGGTTTTAATTTACATATTGAAGGGCCTTCGCCTTTTGTTTTCTTTTTTCGTACATGTTCCGCGGAGTGATCCAATTACGATAATTTTTGTTTCTGTCACGGAAAAACTTAGAGGGTGCATTGGACTTTGATTTCAGATTATGTAACTGAAGGCTAGAAACCAAAATAAAATAAATGAAAAAAAAAAAAAAATCGCAAAAACTTATCGTATTCGAACTATAATAACTAAGTATAACGTTCATAAATATGATTTTAAAAATTCAGTCCCACACTTCTTGTAAGCCGTTTTCCTTTTCCCGACACAAAACAAAAAAAAAATAAATTATCGAAATCGGATCACTCTACGAGTCATGAGAGTTTTCCCCATAAAGTAAGTTATTTAGCAAAAATCTTGTCACGCGTTGGTCCCTTAAAATCTTCATCGTTCTCATCCGATAGGGTTTGAAAGCGTGTTTTTTTTTTTTATGTCATATTTTTATGATATGCTGGATACTGTTCAATGCCAAGGAAACAACCTCCTCCCACATAAAAATGGTCTCAAATGGGACTTCCGTTTTCCGCCAAAGTGACTTTCGTTCGTTATCACCATAACCGTTTTTCTCCAAAGGTTATATTACGATTTTAGCCAAAATTAAATTAATAAATTATTTTATATATTTGTTGAGAACCCGTGAACCTAAATCTATCAAATTGTAGTGGTTACGATTTCCGCCTCACAGACTATCCAATATATTACCTTACTATTATTATTCACTTAGCCAGTGTATTTACCAACGTATACGCAATATTTATAATATAGCTGAATGTATATAATTATATGTGGAACACAGCGTATTCAAGTTAAATCTTACTGAAGTAACGAGTTGTTTTATTGAAGATCTTATGCCACAGTGTCTATCTGATAATCGCGTTTAAGCGTATTGACAATATTTACTAAATAATTAAATTTCAAATGCAAGTACGCTCTCCTCCCTACCCCCCTAAGTTATGTGCTGTAGGAGCTGCTTCATTAACAAGAACCACAAATGCATATGAATCATTCCATTTGGACTTAAATTAATGTTTTTATAAAAACTTAACCTCAATTATGATGCGAGTTCAGAATCTGATAATGAAGAGTACAGACCAGTGTTTATTGTAAAATGTCAACTGTGAATGAACCGAAAACTTCACAAATTATAATTAATTTAAGAAAGAATAAAGTATAAAGAATATTTTCAAAAATACATTTATGGGCATTTAACTAGATTCGAGTTTGTCCAAAAGAATCTGTTTTTCATATAGTAAATGCTGGATGTGTTTGAATTTTTGTACATTTTATGTAATTTTATATTTTTATAATTTAATGTTTAATTTTGACGCTAAACAAATAGTGTTTGTAATCATCAATATTATACCAGTCTATGCCTATTATTATTATTATTATTATTTTATTTTATAATTGAATATATCATTTCGACGATAATTAATCTATGTAGGTTCAAGGGTTCTCAAAAGCTAAATAAATAATTTATTAATATTTTTTTCCTTTGCGGAAAACGATTACGCCATCTGAAATTCATATTGAAATTAAATCCAACTTGAATCATTTCAATTACAAGCCGTTAAAAGTGTATAAAAGCAGCGACAAAAAGATATATTACAATAACAGACTCCGATACTGTATAGTGAATGTTTCTCGGAATGAATAATTGCAATTTCTGTAGTGTGCTTCCGGTCCGAGAGTTAAATAATGTCAAGACTGCAATAAAATATACGTAAGCAATTATGTGAAAATAAATCATTCAACGTATTATTATTATTATTATTTTACTCGCTTAAAAATTAAAATACTACGAAGACAAAAATATATTATTATGCACCGAGATGAAAATAATATAGTAAACATTTTATCCGAGTATATATTATGTTCAATAGGTACCTAACACGAATATCCCTTTACCGGCGAGGGTTTCGGTGCACGCTGCAGGCTAAATTATTATTTGACAATGTTCGAAAAATCGAGGAAAGTTATATGCTGTGTAAAATTTACGTTGTAATTGTACAATACCTACCCGTTTTGTATAATAAATTTCAATAAGTACAACACAAATATGTTGCTGTGTTGTGGCCCCACCGGGAAAAAAAGTTTTTAAAAAACTATACTCACGTTGTGACTACTGTGTTTCTGTTTAGTTCGACTTTTAAACTTAGTTTTCTCGCCGCGGCGGGTTAAACACGTCGAAAAGTCGTTTTATACTTTTCGTTTAATTTAATATTATGTAAATCGCAGAAACGATTAGAAACACGGCTACATTAATAATAATTCTCGGCGATTTTTTTTTTTCATTTTTAACTTTTTTGAAAATCGAAACCCGTAAATAATACAAAGTTTCCTATGTCTTTTTCACTTACATTATAGCATTTGCAAATTAGACTACACGCCGTTGTTCCGTTTCGGTCTCGACGTTGATTCGTAAATTAGGATATTTTTTCGTCTTCAACGTGTGTTCGTTACAAACACCAGATCTTATACTAAGATTTTCTTTTCTTGATTAACTTTTGTAATATGTTTGTTCGGGTTCTTACAGAAACAATAATTTCGTTTTCTCAAGGATTTATATTTTCGCGTAGGTACCCATATTTGCCACTCTAACCGCATGTATCCAGTATGATAGAGTGTAGGTATGCAGTTATTACCCTCCTATATTCAAACAATTTTTCTGATCTATCTCAAAGTGACAACTCACCCGTCCATACGTATACCGAAAATAGTTCTACAGACGGGGGATATAATATTATTATGGGCTGTCTTTTTATTTTTTTTTTTTTTGATGTAGGTTTTTTTTACAGATATCGACTGATTTAAATTCCTGAGTGACATAAAGGAAATGCTATATTTTTTCATAATATTATACGCGGGGTTTAGGGGAATAGAACGTCAATAGTGCGTATCCGTCTACGTCATATTAGCTCCCCTTTTTTAAAACGCAGTGAAATGTAATCGATCAGAACAGTAATTCTTTTCTTCCCAAGGCATACTTGGGGTTCGACGACTTTTGGAGGGGCTTTTATAGTATTGCACAATTTCCAAACATAACGATGACACACAGTGACCCTCGTCCCTTTTACATCCGATATCTAACTAACTGTTTATTGTATAAAAATTACTTTCCTCATTTCGTTTATAAATTTCGAGCAGAATAAATTGATGCAAAATTTGTTTTTTTTTTTCAATTTGTAAATTTGTCTCTTTTACGATTTTGCAAATGTATTAGAAAAAATAAAATTGTTTTATCCATTGGAAGTGATGGATTTAGTGATACATCCAGAGGGGGAGTTCGAGGGTTATAAATACGGCTCCATACAAATTACGTTCCCGATATAAAAATTGCGATACGTGACATACTAAGTAGCGGTTTTTCTACACAACTAAACTAATTATAATTGCGCCCCGATTATTTTATTATGGTTATTTGAATCAATATCGATATGAAACTAACTTATGAAATAAATGTATACGGTTTACATGTACTAATATTGTGTGTCGTTGACAGTCGTGTGCTGTTCGTAATTCACACAAGTTTAATTACAAGTGACGTTATGAGTAGTGAAAAAAATTAAATCAATAATTAGTATAAATAATTATAAATTCCATTTTAAAAAGTTATTAAAACGTGATATACAGTGTTAGAAGTGTTGCAAAAAACATGTAAGTCATGCATTAAGTTAAATGACAGAAATGAAATATTACAACGCGCTAGTGAGCATAACCATACAAGCGATTTTATTGAAATATTAAATAGACAAAAAATAATCAATGATTTAACACACGAGGCAATAGACGAAAAAAAAAAAAAAAAAAAAAAAAAAAACAATGTTTTGTCTTATTAAACAACCCACAATTTAGTAATTTACCATCTCAAAGTCCAGCAATTTGTTCAAAGTTCATAATCTTTTCTCTCCCAGAAAACAAATCCTTGTTACGACACTTTATGGAGGGTCAATATCCCTATATATCCTATAAGTAAAATAACAAAATAAAATTGGTTAAATTTGTGTTTCATTTTTTTTTTTTTCGTTTTTCTTCATCCGGACGTATTACATTTATAGGAACTTTGTGGCGGTCGCCGAGTCGGGCAAAAGGCCGACGGCCAGCGTGTACGATCTGGTGAAGTCAAAACGGATACGACACCTAACGTTGCCGTACGTCACCGAAGCCACCGGCTTCGTGATGATTAAGTTCTCGCACGATGACGTATACTTGGCCGCACTCACGAACAAACCCGATTTTGTCATGTACTACTACGAGTGGAGAAAATCGAAGATCGTCAGCCATTTGCGTGTAGTACACCTGCCCAACTCAGTCGCCATCGTGAACGACGTAAATCGAATATTATATATTCGTAATATCACAGAGTGTTCCATTTAAGTGGATAGTGGGTACACTCATTATCTCAGAAGCAGCAAGCAGCTATTCAATTTTACATTTATGTTGACATTTTTGATTACCGTCAATCCGTTGCCCAGATATTCGACTTCTAAATTTGGGTCGAGAGAGTAGTGGATCATTTGTATGGTGGCACGGCGCGTGGCGTTTCAATAACGCACCATTATACTGTCCTCTGACCCAAACTTAAAAGTGAAATATCTCGTCAGACGGAAATCAAAAACTCCATCAACAAAATTTATTTTAATTAATACTTTATCTATTTAAGGAATTTTCAATGTAAGTTGCCATTTGAAAAATCAAAAGTAGGTAATGGTTTTACTCCAAAAACAACAAATTTAAAATATTACACTGTTTCTTAAATGTTCTATAATACAAATTTTGAAAAAAGGTTAATACTTTCAGAGATAATAAGTGTACCCTTTTAAATGGAATACCCTGTATACGTTATTTGTCAACAAATATTTATTTTTATACTTATTACGAATTTAAACAAAGTTTTATTTGTTTTGTATACGTTTGCAGCCGAAATATAGCATATATAGTTTTTATTCACTTGCTTGAACCAATGCGTCACGGGGGGTTTTTTTTTCTTGTTAGGGTTCAGCCGTAACGAAACCAATAAAACTGGACCCTTATAATTTATTTATGTCCGTGCGTCCGTATGTCATAGATGCCGGCCATTTTTCAATACATTTTAATGAAATTCTACAGGAATTGAAATAAATTAAAAACATGATTTAAGGGTATGTTTCTATATAGGTACACTGTTAAACATAATACTGAGGGATGTAAATTTTATTTTTCGTGTATCCCGTCGTGTGTGGTATCGTTGGAAAGTTCATTAAAAACTTGATAATTATTACCATGGTTTATAATTTAATTTTGTATACACATTAATATTTTATGACATATAAGCTCCTAAAGTCTATAGTTTTCTGACTCCCTCCCTTCTAATTTATCCAAACCAAATCATTTTGAAAAAAATATGTTATTTAATTATGATAAAATTGAACAAAATATGTTAAAATACAATCATACAATAGTTACATAATACCACATATTGATAATGTGCACCACAAAAACCAAGTAACGTGAATTATATAGTTACTGGGTCTTTTTTTTTTTAACATAGAATCAGTTCCATAATCAGTATATTATTCTTTTGAAAGGTATTAAAATCCACCATATTACACATTTATGCGTAGATTGCAATAACTATTCTAACATACCGTGTTAAAAGTATTGATACGAATGTCCAACGTGATAGTTTTCTTATGAGATTTGCTTTTTCTGACTTAAGTTACTATTTGTCGTAATCGTCTTTCTAACGGACAGATACAACGGTAGCAATAATATGCGTTCACGTGAATCAATAAAGAAAAGGTTTTGGAAATCGGTTTAGAGGTCAAATATTTAAAACAATAATACACTTAAAAAATAACGATACAATAGAAATATGTTGAAGACAACTTTGTTGGTGTTTTACACGATTCTCTAAGTGCTTCTCTCAACACTCAACTAGTTACCGAAGGTATAAACAATTATTATTATTGTTTTATCTCGAACTTAATGGACTTTTCGTTTGTTTAACGTTCCAGCGTGTTTGCTATGCTGTAGAAAGGTATGAGCGGAAAATTCAACTGTGACGGAGCGCTTCTTATGTTGTTAATTTTGCATGAAGTGAGTGAGGGGTTAGGATAAAATGCCGAGAGTAGAAACAGAATGAGTTAAAAGGCTAGACGCACTTTTCACCACTGTAGTAGATGAGAAAGGTTTTTAAAGATAATTTAATTTTTACATACTGTAAGTAACGATAAATCAATTATCTTCATACAACGATTCTGAGCTGAGTAGAGTATTACTACAGTATAGCATTATTAACTTGGGTAAAATATTTCTTGAAAGTACCTTATTTGGAATAAATATTAATTGATCAACATTTTCAGAAAATAAACACTATAAAATGGCTATCTTCAATATTTTTGGAAATAATAAAATAAAAAGTAGTTTTTTAGTTTTTTCACCAAACCATAAAAATTTAATTCAAATATAAATATGTGCACAGGTACTCTATACGGGTAATTTAGTTTGTACATACATGATGTCCCTTGAAGACATACTTATTGTAAAATCTCCGGCATAAAAAAAATAATCAAATTCTGTTGTGGTTTTTTTGTTGTATTATTCACAGAGATAAGAATTATAAATATTTATATTTCAACTAATTTTTTATGTTTTGGTTAAATCTTAAAAAAAAAAAATATTTTAACATTATTTTTGAAAAATTTAAAGGTAGCCATTTTTAAAGAGTTTAATTCTTCTCAAAACTTTGACGTATCGAGTTTTTATTTTCATTAAGTTCGTGATTTCGAATAATTTTTTAAAGTTCAGAGAAAAGAAGTATCCAGTCAATTAATAATAATAATAATAATTAATTAGAGAATGCAGTTACAGCCTGCTGCATAATTATAGGTATTTTTCTCTGAACTTAAAATTTTTTTTGAAAATCGCGAATTTAATGTAAATGAAAAGTTGATACATCAACTAAGAAAAATAAACTCTATAAATTGACCGTCTTTAATTTTTTCAAAAATAATAAAATAAAAAGTTAATTTTATCAAAGCATACTAATTAATTGCAATATAAATATGTGTAGTCTTTGTTTCTGTGAGCTATGTAAGAAAAACAGTATTTGATTGTCTTTATTATCTCCGGAGATATTACAACGGGTATATCTTCGTCTGCATAAGGCGCAGGCAACGAATAACGCTAAGAGGACGTCATATCTGCGCCTACCGTCTCAGTCCAACTAGCGGGCAACATGCAAAAACAATGCTTACGCGGGAATAAGTAACACCAGCTCAATTTCGATTTTAGAGTATTAGCAAAGTACCTGTGTGTACAGAGAACGTTATTTTCGAGGGAATGCCATAGATGTCTTTTGAATTATGAACTATCAAAAGATTCGCAACCGTTTGAAAAACGAGGTTTTTGTATCTGTTATACCGCCGAACTGTACATTTTGAATACTTAAAAAACCCTACGGCATTCGCTCCGAAATATACGTTCTCTATAAATTTCATAATTTATAGCAAAACTAGACACTATTGCATTAAAACCGAAATCGGGCCCGTTTACTTATCATATTGTACGTCCGTTTATACATTATTATTATTGTTACGTTTTCCGTTGTGGCGTCCGTCGGTCGCCCCGCGGAATCCGAAATCGCGGCGACGAAAAATATTTTCAATAATACATCGCATGCCGTTAACGGTTTCGGCGCAGTGGTGTTTAGGCACACCGAATTTCGGGGACGGCGAGAGCGCCCGTCGGCCGTCAGTACGGCGGTCCGCGGATCGGTGTCCCGGTGAAACGCGGGACGCGAAGACGAAACGCTTGGACAAACACACGCACACACGCACACACACACACACACACACACACACGTGATATCACGCGGACGTCCGAAACGCAATAATAAATCAACCCCCGGGGGGACCGCGGTACGCACGCAGAAATAATATTGTGATAGCGCGGACCGCGGAGCGGGACGTCGGCACGTATGATGTTACGTGCACCGCGTCGCGTTTCGCCGGACGTAACTTTTGCCGCGTTTTATCATCATCATTATTATTATTATTATTATTATTATTATTATTATTTCGATCCCGAACAAATACGATGTTTTAATTTCGAAAGTTTTGCCGTACGCGCGCACCTAACCTAACCTAACGGACGTACATAGCCGGACGTAGGTGGGTAGTTCGGGCGTGCAGGCGGGCCGGCGGGCTGGCGGGCGCGTAGGTAGGTAGGTAGGTAGGTAGGTAGGTAGGTACACGCTATACCGTTTACGGTATTATATTATATCATAATGTATTATTCAAAAGCGTTTCGGTCTCTCTTTTGTGCGCGAATATTATAAATTATTTATTATTTCGTATCTATAATATTGCGTCGTATCGAAACTCGGAAGAATTTGTTTATTTTGAGACTTTTACGTCGGACGGATTGAAGAGGAGGTACCGGGTCGGGCGGGCGGTGGGAGGGGGGTCGGCGGCGGCGTGGTATACGTATATATTATTATTATTATATACACGGCTGCCGCCGCTGATGGCGTATACCCATTGAAAATAATATACAATATTATTTTCGAGTTTTCGACCAGAAATATTATTTCAAAAAGATAAATATTTAATTTTAAACGATACGATATTACATTTTTGCCGCGCATTATATTATACGCGTTCGCATTCAATATTTATTCTATAGTCGCCGCGGCGGACGGGCGGGGGTGGGGATCCCGTCGCTTTGTCGTCTCCGGAATTACCGTCGTCGTTGTCGTTCGTCTGTCCCGCGACGACGACTCTCGGTGGTATTATTAATCTTTTCGTCGCTGTTAATAATGATTTGCAGATACTTTTTCGTTTCTCCTCGTCACACGTCGCCCGACCGCGTCGGCGGCATCCACTCCACGTCTGGTTTTGTTTTTCTCCCGTCGAATAATTCAATTTTGAAACATTTAAAACGACGCGTGCACAATATACGACGTAATTGCGCGAGCGTCTTTTCCATTCGAAATCGCTACACGACAGGGTATCACGCGAATGCCGTGTAATAACACAGGGTCGTGGGCTCTCACATTCTAAAATGAAAATTCTAACAAAACAAATTTAAAAATACGGTACAAGATGATATGAACAAAAAAAAAAAAAAAAACCCATTTAGATTCTGTGTGTAGCGAGAAATATATTGGATAATATTTTTTTTATTTTTTTTTTTTTTTACTATAAAGACATTTTCAACTAGACATATTTGCTCCGATTTTCAAGTGTATACCATAAAATAAAATTACATCCAGTTGGCGCGTTGAGTAGGTGATTTTGGATTTTCATTCTTTATAGTTTTCTCAATAACTGGGAAACAGTGGAATGTTTTGGAATAGTTTCATTATTTTAGATTTGGTTTTTGACTACGTATATCAGCCTTTTCTAGATGTGGTGAACGTGGTAATTCTAGTGAAGTTTGAGCCATTTGTAAGTATTTGATATTTCTGAGTTTTGTTTCTTTTGGTTGAATGTAGATGTAATTGTTGTTTTGGTCAAGCGAAATACTTGAAATTTAATACGGGGCTTATGCTAAATTATTCTTAGTAATAATAAAAAAAAGTTTAGCCTAATAATAGTTTTTTTTTTATAATTATTTTATATATATTTTTACCAAAGTCGTAGTAATCACGATATTTCATATTTTATAACCAAACTTGGTTCATAATCGTATTTCATTAGAAATGATTTATCGTTGCGTACAGAAATAAAATGTATAATTATATATGTACAGTGTACCTGGTACACATCCTACTTTCTTAACTTCCCGCCTATTACAGTGACACACTCATCAGCAGTATTAGCTCTTCTTTTTATTATTTATTGGAAGTATATGATGTACAATGCGATTTTTATTTTTAATTGAATTAATTAAATAAATGTTTTTTTTTTTTTTAAATTATATCTTTTCAATATTGGGCTAGATGGGCCGATGCATATATGGGAACCGTTTTTGAAAAATATTTTCATCACTGACGTCTAAATTTATCTTAAGGAATCCGTCGATTACGAGCAATCATTAATTCTTAAAGATTCAGAGTACGACGTTTACTAACATTAGCTCTAAGTCACCAACACAGGAAAAACTCGCGAGGGGCTCAGGACAGAGGAGTATGCTTAAGAGAGTGATGGAAAATTTTATGAACAGCTTCATATTTGCCGTCAAGGATGACATTTGAAAGATATAATTTTTAAACCCTAACTAAATTTTAAACTCTTTATTGTATGTACTCCCCATAAATAAAAAGTGTTTTTTTTTTTTATATATATATCTTTTGTAGTTTTTTTAGAATTTAGTTGAAGAATTAAGAGTTTATTACGTTACACCCTGTATAGTATTATTACACTATGTTCTATGATTATTATCGTTCCGAGGAACAAATACTCGTAATATGTGAAAAGGGAGGATTTATTACTGCGCAGTCCGATCGCCCGAAACCGTATATTATCTAGAAAATTCACTCCCAAGTCACGTTATTTAATTTAGCACGTGCTGCGGCGGTAAGGTACGGTTGTGGGGTTCGATAAAAAAAAAAAAACATCTCACGTAAACTTACTACGCGAAAAAAAGTGGATGTTTGTTGTTTTATAATGAAAAAAACAATCGGAACGCTAGAATATCCATCCATTTAAATTCATTATCGCTGTAGCTCGCAATCAGGTTCTCTAGACTTATTGAAGGATAAGAACAAAAAAAAAACGAATCATTTCGTCCGTATTGATGGATAAAAGTCGTGTCTATACTGAGTGATTAATTTATAGTACGAACCGGTGATTATTATCGGTACCTATTATATTTACAAGTACAGTATTTTTTTTTTCAATCGAAAAAATTCTTGAATCATTTAAGTCATTAATTTTAGGATACAATAATTTATCTAAACAATGAGAGATGAAAATCGCGGTGAATGTGAAAACTACCAACTTCCTAGTTTTAATTGAATTTGAAAAAAAAACCTAATAATTTGTTTCAAATTTTATTGGCCTTAGAGATCAGAAATTTTCGCGCGTTGGAATTTTATTTGAAACATATTTCTAAATCTCCGTCACTTATTTTTAAACCTTATAAAGTTATATTATATTATATTATACACATACAAAAGTTTTAATTTTATTGATTCGTGGATTACATTTTGGTTACGACGAAGGGAAAAAACGTTATAAATATACTATATTTACACAATATAATACACATACAAATATATATTATACAGCCATACAGGGTGTCCACGAAGATATACCTATAGTTAAATCTCCGGAGATAATAAAGATAGTCAGATTCTGTTTTTCTTATGTAACTCACAGAAACATCGACTACAAATATTTATATTGAAATTTATTTTCATGCTTAGATAAAAATAACTTTTTATTTTGTTGTTTTTCAAAAAATTAAAAACCATTTATAGAGTTTATTTTTTTGAAAATTTTGACGTATAAACTTTTTATTTTTATTAAATTCGCGATTTTCAATAATTTTTTAAATTTCAAAGAAAATTACCTAGAATAAAGCAGCGGGCTGTGATTGCATTTTCTAATTAATTTTTATTATTAGGATTAATTGACTACACACCTTTTTTTTTTTTGAACTTTAAAAAATTGTTCAAAATCACGAATTTAATGAAAATAAAAACTTGGTAGGTCAACGTTTTCAGAAGAATAAACTCTATAAAATGACTATCTTCAAATTTTCAAATACAGTAAAATTAAAAATTATTTTTTTTTGTTCTTTACCGAAACATAAAAAATAAATTGAAATATAAATATGTGTAGTCTTTATGCCTATGAATAGTATAAAAAAAAAAAAAAATAGAATTTACAACGGGTATATTTTCGTGGGACATTCTGTATAAAGTAAATAATAAATGTACATACTTCCACATCGGGAAGAGTTAAATCTCCGACAGTTGAAATTACGATAACGTCAAAATTCTGACAGACAATACTATCACCAAATATTCATTCCGCACCATATGAACCATACGTTCACATTATTATATTTTATATTTACATTTCGGGTATGTGACATCTTCTGAACCGCCGAGACTTTAAACTAAATGGAAATTTAACTGACCCGGACGCCATCGAATCCAGCGACCTACTCACGGTGCGCATATAATGTTCGGTTTTTTTTTTTTTTTTTACGGGCCTCAGCGGTTTTTCCCGGAAGATTTTATGCCCATTCAGACTTCGCGGTATAGAAGCTAAAATAAATATTAATATTTAATATTCCGATAGTTGCGGGATTTGTTTTTTTTTTTTTTAATACGTATTTTTCTTTCGAACAGTAAACATTTTCCTCCGTGTTGTTCAATATCCGCGACGGATAAATAATAATATGTGCCAGGTAAATAGGAATTTAATCTTTCGAGGTGGGAAGAATAGCTGTGTAGTAAGTGTTAGCGGTTATAGGAAATGGAAATATTATCGTTTAATACCGCGCGCATATATTTTATCCTCTCGCAATGATTTATCGTTGCTTTCAGTATATTATAAACTAAATTGCATTACTTCGTCGCACCTTTTATATAATATTACGCTTCTTACCGCCTACAACAGTCACGAACAGTGAAGTGCGTCCGGCGCTTTTATTTTCTTTTTCCCGGCGTAACCAAGAGCGACCAGAAATCAATAGACCAAAACAAATCGTTCAAAATGTCCGTACTCTAAGAACGACGTTTTACCAACGTGCTTACGTTCGTAATATGGAAATCGAGAATTTCAGATTTAAAATTTAAATTTACTATTATCAAAAAAAAAAAAAAAAAAAACCTCGTTTAGTATTAAAGTTCCAAAATGATTAGTTTACAATAACTTATTATATAATTTATGTATTTTGTTTATGGAGATCAGAGACGGTTTTTCAAATTTTCTTCAATTATTTAATAATTGAAAATTTGTTCTTACATTTTAATAATCACTATCTTAATGATAATACCACTAATCGACTGCCCGATACATTTTTAAAAGTAAAGGGTAGGACATACAAAATTGTAGGAATTGCGTTCGGCAGTTTTAAAACCTAACCATATTTTAAGTCCCTTATATTAGGATATGCTGGCATTTTTTTTTTAATTTTATAATTTTCTACACAATAATTGAAATTCAATAAGAGATAAAATACTTTAGGCATATTTAAAAAAAAATCTGTTTATGATTTCCAGTAAAAATACTTCAATTTTTGTTTCAAACATATCCTAATAAAGAACTTGAAAAATTTTAATCCGTTTTCATATATAGTCGAAATCCATCAAAAGAACAAAAGTACAAAAGAAAACCATATTATTTAAACAATTTTTCAAAATATCGAAACCATATATAATAAATGAAAATCAATTAATATAAAATTATTTATTGTTAAATCTAGTCAAGACAAAATTATTTTTATGTAACAGTCTTAAACATATTGTACAACATGTGCATACATATTATTTGTATAATTATTGTACTTTTGGCTTGATTGTAAAAAAATAAAAAAAATGATAAGAACAGTCAGAATATTTGGAGGGTGTTATACAATCGTGAACATTTTGTCCTTTGAACTACCACTACTTTTCTTCCCTTTTGGTACTATCACTTTGATCCCCCTATCAAAAATCACGTATATGTCATAGTAGCGTCACTACTGGGCCATCAGCCAACGTATTTTCCGGACGCCAGACGCATTTTTTAATCGGAGGGTTTTGAAAATAATTGTTGCGTTAAAAAAAATCCATACATTTGTTATTTGTTTAGTCTTTAAACGTTTCGTTTCAGTGCGGAAATATTATATCGGTGTACTTATACGATTTTTTAAAAAAATTTTTATTTCACGTCAGATGGTGTTGAATCCGGGTAACAACAAGTTGTGTTGTTTTGTGGGCAAAGGATTGTTCCGGTCCATGATCATGGGTGAAGTTGTCTGGAAACAATACGGATTTTACAAGGCCAACAAATACAATTTCACCTCAGCATGTTGGTTGAACGACGAAAGGTTAGGTGGTCGTTGATGAACGGTTCACTCTAAACTTTTAATATTGTTTTAATATCGCGTTAAAAGCACGTGAAAGGATAAAGTTTATAATGTTAATAAAGTTCTAAAGCTAAGTCCACATATAGATATTTTACAAGATATAGAGAGCGGATTTTCTGGATTTTAAAAGTTTGAAACAATAACAATAATACGATGGTAATACGCATAAAATTGATAAAATCTGATATAAATCATTAAATCAATATTCTATTAAAAGAACTGATACTAGGGAAGGGCGTGCCACTGTTGTAGGTGGGAAGTTGGGAATATAGGATATAAAAAGTTATTTAATATATATCTATAAACAACAGTAAACCATTGTTAACGAAAAATGATTCAGAACAAAATTCGGTTATACCTATGTTTTGAAAGGCCGTAATATTTACGATTGAAAATAATACATTTCATACATTTTCCCGTTTTTCCTGTGTTATTCGAGTTTAATTTTAAAATTTATATTAAAAAAAAAAATAAAAATATACTACATTTCACTCAATTGTGTTTTTGATCACTCAGTATAACTTGTAATGAATCTCCTATTAATTTTTTAAGCATTTCAGTCTAACAATTGTATCCACAGACTACCTACCAAATAAAAATTACGTAAGAAACTCGCGAAATTTAAATGTCTATTAATAGCTCAAAAATGGTTCAAAGTTTTGAAAATTTTACCAAATTTAGGAAAAGCAAAAATAAGTTTTCTGTCGAAATTTTAAGTCTTTACGAACATTTAAGACTGAATAACAACAAAAAATCTAAATTCAAAATAATGAAAGCATTATTTTCGTAAATTTTCCCGTTTTCCCAAACTTCATGGCGTATCGTAAATAATAGACGTAGATGATTTTTTTTCCCGGTTTTTCTCAATTATTATGAAATCCCCTAGAAAAATTAAAAAATGACCTCCCCAATGCACCAATTAGAGAAAATTACCTTAAATAAAAGGTGCTACACTCTATAAATCGGTGCATAATTTCTTGTAGAAAAGTTGTTCACAGACAGTAAAAAACAAATAATAACAGTAAAATCAATAGATCTCTCGTTAGTCGCTACGTTCCGAATCTAAACTATACATATTTTTTTTTTCCTCACCAGGCTCATAGCCGGCACCTCGGAGGGCCAACTGTTCTTATTCTCAAAGGCTGAACTGAAAGCAATTTACAACGTCGAGACACTCTTGAAGTTCGACCCGAGACTGACTATTGACAACCCGTATAACGTGCGGCCGCCATCCAACAAACGGAACATGGAAATTAGATGTTGTACACCCGTGGACGGCGGCCTGCTTATGGTGGTCGGCAAAGATCAAGTTTATTACTACGAAGTATCGGTGAAAAACGATCCGCCATACAAGTACTGATCCTGACGGTTACATTTATTTTTTCTCCACTATACTATAATGGCGCCTTGATATTTACGGGCCTGTAAATCCTCTATGATAATGATAAACAATCATACGAAAAAAGGACGGTTTTTAAAATCGCTGATACTCGTAAATCGCTTATTTCTAGTCTTCAATCGGTTTGCAACTCAATTTCTGTAACTCCTTGTAACTACCCATACTTATATCTATTACTGATTGTATCATGCACTACATCCTCGTTCTTTCTCATCCAATATAACCTTATTAAGTCGCCACATTTCGTCAGGCTATCATGAGGTAGTATTGAGGCTCTATTATTTTGTCCTTTCTGACATTTATACTATGCCAAAGTTCTCGTTTTTTCTTTATTCTGTTCGTTCATTATTCTTTCTATCCATAATATGGATAATAATATTATATTATAATATTAAGAATTTGTCGTAATACTAAATTAATATTCAGTAGATGATTTTTATCTTGAAAAGTTTTAATTATCCTATTTGCTTGTGCTATCTTGCTAACTATGACTGCTTTACATTAGACGTGTAAACCGCTACAATGATATTATTATTGTCTGATAAAAACTTCGACACTGCAAAGATAACAATAATGTTGCAAATATAGGTAAGTTAATCATAGTTTTAACTAGTGTAATTAAAGTAAATTAAGTATTTTTAATAAAAACATTTTTTAAAAAGAGCTGATACTGGGGATGAGCGCTGCAACTGTTGTAGGTGGGTAGTGGAAAAAGTGGGATATATAAGGTTATTTCATTTATATCTGTAAACAAAGATAAACTATTGCTTGACGAATGACGATTCCGAGCGCAATTAGGTGTACATAATTTTTTTACTACTTTCATTTAAATTTTTTTTCAAAACGCTTATTAAAAAAAAAGTCGTCTGATAATTTTAAAAATTTTACCACGTCTAGGTAAGTCTAGTATAAGTATTAGTATCAAGTTTCAAGTCTCTACGTGTATTTATAACCGAATTACAGCAAAAAACTTCCACAAATTAAAATTCTTTAAAAGCTCAAAAGTGACTCAAAAGTTTTGGCAATGATACTGTTAGAAAGTAAGTCAAAAAAGCAACAAAAGAACCATCTAGAAAACTTGAGCTTTTAGAAAAGTTACTACACGTAAAAATTGGATCATGTTTACTAAGAAAAAACGTATCCACAGACTAACCCAAATAAAAAATAAACAACTTAATAAAACCAATAGCTCCCTTGCTACCCTCGCTACGCTCGGAATCTAAAAACTAAGCTAAGTTAAAACTAATTTTATAATACCAATAAATTTAAGCAACAATGAGTATATAACTCATTCTTGAAGCTATATAAGCTTCATGAAAATAATAACTTAGTTAAAATAACTTTTTTTAAATTATTTTTCATTATAATAGTCATATAGCAGTCTTTTTAAAAGTATTGAATACAAGTATTTTGGATATTTAAATACTTTTTAAACATTTTTAAAAATATTTTCATAAAATGTCGGTATTTATGTTTAAATACATACTAAGAAATCTGTTAAATAATTATTTTATTTATAAAAATTCGACTACCTACTAATAAAAATAATATTGTTTTCGTTATCCATTTAGTGAAGTATGTACTTCTAGATTTTTCTTAACAAGAAATATGTAAATAACTAAGTTAAGTTAAAATCATTTATTTAAAGAAGTAGTTTATTAGTTAGTTAGATTTTTTTCTAACGTTCTATTTTTCTTAGCTAGAAAAAATAAAAGTTATAAACAAAGTAATTTCAAAATTTATCTTTAATTTTTTAACTATTTACTGCCCAGTATTGGTTTTTGTTGAATTTTACCTGACAATAGAGACTATTGTACTATATAGTATATAATGTCTGGCGTCTGCTATATAAATATATACGTCTTTTTTCCGCTCCTTTTCATTTTTTGCAAACAAAATGAGTTCAAACTCGAAAATTAGAGATTTTTATAAGGGTGTTTAAGTAATGAAATTTTGGTTAAATTTTACTATAAACTTCACTGTATTGCTGCAGAAAGATAATTTTTTGTTTAGCTCTGTACACCTTTATAGACCATCAAATGAAGCCAAGGGGATGAATTATTATTGATGGTTTGAATTTCCTACCACATCATATGTTTTTTGTATGTTGATGCAATTTCGAAAACTGCTTTACCTATTTTGATAAAACATTTTTTTGTTCAATTTCTTATCGTTATAATATTCCATGACGAATTAATTTTTTTACGGCACCAAGTCATTTGAGGAAAATTGGACCACCCTTTGGTTTAGGTCAGTTTAGATTCGTGGTGGTTTTTACATTACTTATTTTGTCGTATTATTATCGCGCAGGAAACACGCACTCCTAGAAAGACACACGGTGTACGAATTGCCCAAGAACAAACACCTGGAACAGATTGTAGGAAACGACGGCAAACTGCGGGTTATTAACACACTGTGCGTCTCGCCATCCGGCGAAATGCTCATGTGCATCACGCAGCGTTCCCTGTTCTACTGGGCTTCGATCGGCATAGAGAACATTGACAAGACGGTAGGTTATTTAGATTAAGTTTTGGGATATAGGTACTACATTATTGGTATTTCGGTAATAAACGGCGCATGTGTACCGCATAGGCGTGCGCAAAATTGTTTTGCTGGGGATGCTGGTATTTTTGAAAATAGCTCCTACAGTTAGAGTGTATTATTTAAAAATAACTATCCCATAATTCTTATTCTATATATATAAAAATATAAATGGATGTCTGTCTGTCAGTATAAGATGAATAGACTTAAAAGCTGTAGTGAATTTTATGTTCTTTAACGTGTGTCACGTTGTCCGGAGAAGCTAACAATAGCTATTGAAATCCACTTCTTAATGAATGAAGTCCCATAAAATTCGGTTTTATGTATGTTTAGTATACAAATCTAATTATTTTTGTTGATTTATCGATGACCATGGTAATACTGATGGGGAAAAAAAACTGTTATTTATGATTAATTATTCTTGTAGTGCAATTCCTGTGCTCCGTGGGTATCTTTAGTAATAGTATAATAATAGTATATAATGATAATTTGTCTATATTATTTTTTTTAGCACGGGCAACGCCTGGCTGAACAGTTAGTACCTTGTATTAATAATAACTCGTCTCAAAAGGACTTGTATCATAATTTGCATTTTTAAATAGATGTTTTTCAAATATGCCATCTATACTTAATTATACTTTTTTCCATTATTATCAGTTTTAACTTTCAATATCGCGAATTATATTTTATTGGAAAAATTAGTTTTAGTTTAAACAAATAACAAATAAGGAGTATAAACTATAAGGAGTAGCTGTTTTCGCAGGATATGCCATACGATTCCTGGCATCCCCCCGTGCGCATACAAAGTGGTATACCGTTATTTCGGTATTTGTATGCTCGGCTGTCGATATTTTCGTATTTCAGTAGCTATGTGTATGAAACACTATAATAACTCACAGGGGCGGCTTGATTATAGTTTTGATACTTTATTGAAGAACCAATAATTTGGGATAGTTGGGTCGTGCAAAATCATGAACCAAGTTTGTGTAATATTCGAATGAAATAATTCTGTCCACATAGCATTTTAAAACGATAGGAATTGTATAAATATTCGGAATAGATTTGAAATTAAATATTATATATATTATTAAATAGTTATGCAACATTGAATAATTATAAAAATATTTAGTTTTAGACCTTTTCCCCATTCATGGATGTTATAGTGGTACTGGACGTCTCCTCCCCCCCTCTTGGTCTGAGATAATTCCTCAATGAAGCAATATAGGTAATACATACATTATTTTTATTTTATTTACTTTATAGGTTCATGTTACACATCATTTTTTTTTTTTTATTAAGAATAAATAGGTAGATAGGTATACATTGGTTTTACTCGGAGTAAAAAAAAAAAAACAATTTTTGTAAACATTTTTACTCGTATTAGTAAATTTTGTATTTTTATGAGTTCGATTTTGAATATTAACAATTATAAAATCACAATATTAATTATATCTTTATTTAATTAATGTACGATATTAATAATTGTATTCGCATAATTTAAATTTTTCATCCAGGGGTAAATTGACCCATTGGGGGAAGGGAATGAGGAGTGAAACTTAATAAATTCAAAATATGTATATTTTTATTTGTAAATGTCTTTCTTGTCTTGAATCGTGTTACGGAATCTTGTAATCTATTTTCGTCCGAATATCCGGGGTCCAATCAATTTGCATGCACTCATAATATAAACGATAATAATACAGTAATCAATAATCAGATATTACGCTGTCCATACCCATATATTCAAAGGGGGCCGAAAAGGCTTTAGGGAGTTCTTACACGTAGTTTTAATTACAACAAGTGTGTAATAGGAGATAGTAAAAGTGATGAGATAAGAAATATTTCGTAACAACTTCCTTACATAGTGACTAAAATGTTGAAATTTAATTTTTTTTTTTTAAAACATCCAACTAAAAATTAAGAAATAATCTTTCAAAAATAAAAATGCTGTCAAACGTATGCCAGACTCAAAGAAAAACGGCGCATTAACGTGAGCGTTAAACGCTGCTGTTATTCTCAGAATATACTTTCTGGAAGACTATCAGTGAAAATATAGCCAAAATTCGCTTGCGTTGGTCGGAAATTTCTTTTTATACTATACTATTTTTTACTAACAAGTGTTTTAAAACTAGTAGCCTAGTATTATATGCGTTCATGGTTCATATTTGAAGGTTTTGGCAGATATAAATCCCGTGTTTTCCCCATGATTATAAAATACAAATAAGAACAATTTATTGTTGAATTTTTTAGTGATTTATATACGTAACAACGTGTTTAGTAATATTGTAGTACGGTTATTAATCCGGGCGCTAGGATCTGATAACGGGTATTATCTGATAGATATTGTATAGCCTTGTCTTTATCCTGTAATCATTAGAAACGAATTACTATAATATTATAATCAGCGAAGTAGGTTTTAACGGTTCATAACCTCGGATAACATTATGTACTTACATTGAATTCGTACATTTGGATATCTTTTGTGTTTTTATTCACTAACGAAATTAGTAGTATACAATTAAAAACACAAAATCGAATATGGGATTTATTGTGCTTACGGGACGTGGCTGGAGTGACCAAATTAAATATCTCAAGCCATCTCTGATAAATCGACAAACCTTCTTCTCGTCCCTCGATTGTTTTCCTGACTATTTGGACTCGGTTACCTCGGTCTTAAATGTCCGTGTTCTACCGCCGCCATACAGTATACGTTATACCAGTGGTTCCGAACTTCTTTTATTCTATCCCCCCTTTGTAGATTTAGATGGCCCCCTCTCATTTTAACCTCCCAAAATAAAAAATAATAATAATAAAAAAAAGGGTTATCCAGGTGCTGATAAGTAAGCAAACTTCCCCCTGTCGCCTCTACCTGAATACGGCCTTGCTCGTAACCATTATCGGAACCCAATCACCGGTCATTATTAAATTTATATTTCTTTCCTACATTTTAAAGTTCAAATAATTTAATAAATACAAATTTGAATTTGTGATGACTGCTTGCGTCTCTTCAACAATTTGTTCACCCATTTGGGAAACATTGCGTTATACACATCAGTCTGTTACTGCTGACTTTATATTATTAACATTCTGAACCGCGTGTTTAAATAACCAATATTTTCTTTCCGGTATGCCGACTCTATTTAACCCGCAGGTGGAGTTAAAGCTTCACGGCGACGACCTGCACCACGGCGAAGTGGCCGGGCTGTCGTTGAGCTGTTGGTGGCCGGTGTTTATGACGTGCGGCCGGCTGGACCGGACCGTTAAGTTGTGGAACTACGTGAAGCGTACGCTACTGTTCACCGAACGGTACGACGAGGACGTGCTAAACGTGTCACTGCACCCGACCGGTCAGTGCGCGTTGCTGGCGTTCACCAGCAAAGTGGAATTTTGCATGGTGCACGCCGACCAGCTGGAGACCCGCCGGCATTTCAACGTGACGGATTGTTCGCTGATCCAGTTCAGCAGGTCTGGACAAATGTTCGCGTTGGTCGACGGGCTGAACGTAGACATCTACAGTTCGATCACATTCGAGAAACTGCACCGAATAAGCAAACACGAGAAAAAGGTGAGTTGTCAGGAGGAAGGGAGGGGGTTGTGGTTCGCTTCGATCCCACAGCAGTAAGAGTTTATATTGTTGATGGGTGCAAATGGGCTGATCTGATGTAGGTAGGAAATTAGGAAGGTAATGTACACCTTAAGTTAATTAATTTATATATGAAAACTACGAAAAACGATTCTGAAAGAATTAGGCGTGATTTGAAAGTTCGTAATATTAACAATTTTAAAATAAAAACAAACCTATAACGAACCTTCTGTTAAATGCTTAAGCATTTCTGTTTGGTTAATAATTATATCCACATAGTACCTACCAAATAAAAACTACGTTAAAAATGGGTGTAAAAAGCTCAACATATTTTTCGCTTTAGTTCACTTATTAAAAAAACTACACGGAAAATTAAAAAATGATGTTCTAATTTATCAACTAGAAACAAAATGAAACAAAAAAAGTTTTTTTTTTTAATAGAAGCAAAATTTCTGGTAGAAAAGTTGTTAACAGATAAAGTAAAATCAAAATATTCGTTGTTCCACTTAAAATTTAAACCCTATATTTAAAACCGTAATTATAATACTACAAATTCAACCTTGTTAGCAATAACACTTTTTGCCTATAACTCCAAAAAATTCTTAATAGCTCAAAATAAAACGTCATAATATTTCGAAAATCATACCACTAGAGAATCTAAGTATTTTGTGAAAATTTCGTCTTTTTACAATTATTTTTCACTAAACTATAAAAAAAAAAAACAAATACAACCCGTTAGTGCGTGAGTATTCCATTATTTATTATTATTTATTTATTTTATTTTTCTTCATTATCCAGTAAAGTATAAGAGAAAAAAAAAAAAGGAAAAAAAAAGAACCTTCTCAATGCACATATTATATTATAGTAGGCGAAATTCGCTTTACGAGCTATAACCTCTCCTAACGATCGCGGAGTTAGTTTTCCGGGTGAAAACATGGAAAAATTAATGCAAAACAAGAGTTTCGGGAAATTTAACAATAATAATTATTGTAAGATTCGAACTCAGTAATTAGAAAACCGTGTTTTACGCTAGAAAACTAAAATATAAAAATAATAATAAAACCGTATTCTATGCAGGGTGGAGTGGGTACCCATAAAATGACAGCACCGCTAACGATAATATTGTTATTTACGGCCAACTCATCGAATAAGGAGTGCGGCGTGCGAAATATTACTGTATTTATAATCCTCTCGGTAATGGGTGTATAAAGAAAAAGGGGTAAGGGAGTGGAGATGAAAAATTTTTTATCACTTATAATACGAGTTTGGACTAAAATATTGTAATAATCTGTCAACGCGTCACGGCCGATACATAATATTATACTAACGGTAATATTATATTTTATCGAACAATTTCACAATACGAACAACACTATTAGAACTTCTTTTTTTTTTTTCGTATTATTTATCTATACTTGAGACCGCCGACAGACAGGACTTATCGTTTGGAAGGGTCGTTATATAACGCGGTATGGTCTTAACTTCTCCGTACGTATTTCTATCAACTTTATCGCCTGATGCGTTTTATAATAATAATAAAATTGCCCTGTCAAAAGTTTGAACCCGCCGGAAACACTTGTACGCACGACAGTAATGATGTATGCGTAGGGATGGCGATTTTTTTCGTGAACATCTATATGTATCGATGTGCCTCTTTCAAACCATCGATGTTGAGAACGTCGAAAGATTAAATAAAAATCGGTGTCAGGAACATTGATGTATTTCGGAAAACATCGTCAATTTAAAATATAGAAGAAATAATTGCCCTTTGCCATGGATACATTCAAGGGATATTCTACAGCGCCTATTACCCAACACTCTAGTCTCAAATATAAACTATAGCCATTCAGCGTCCAGGAATCATAGTTTGTTCGATTGTATGTAAGAATACTCGTGAACATCGAAGACAAGCAATCATCGAAATTAAAACATCAGTAAAGCTTTAAAATATATGAAAAATATTGAAACTAGGTCAAACATCGATTATTTTAGCTTAGTTTCAGAAACATCGATGTCTTATTGCCATTCCTATGCATACGGTGTTTAACCGTATCTGATTATTTATTTGGACGAATATTCTAACGTATTCTAATGTAGAAATGTAAAAATACCTTCGTAGTCATGATTGGGCGAGAATACGCAAGACACTAAAAATAAATATCTTGATACACGGTACGTTACACAATTACGAAAGTTACAATGTGAATGTTACAAATGCCTGTGAGAGGGGATCAGAATACTCCTTGCACGGTAACTCTACCTGTCGTGGAGAAAATGAGGTTGCCTTTGCTCGACAGCCGGGTAAAATGTTGTCAAATAGTATGAGGCGTCCCGAACAAAACGGTTTAGACGGATTTTCCTATCTCGGATATGCGCGGTGACAACAGGTAAGAGGAATTGACTAAGGTTAGTCGAGTTCTGGGTAACGGAGCGTGTAATACCAGCGGACGGCAAGTATAGTAGCTGTTCATTGGTCATGGGAGCAGGTTTATCACATCACCACTGCGCCCTAAGTTGAACCTGCAAGTCTAAGTGTGACATAATAGGTGTATACCTATTATCGGTAAGAACTCATTTGGTGAAGATTTTGTTGTAACGTATGACAATAAATTTAATAGGATGATTATAAAAATTATAGCGTTTTACGGTTTTTAAGATTAAAAGTGCATGATAAAATGTAACACTAATTAATTAATCTATCTGCAGATAAATAAAGGCAGACGTGTTTTGTATATTAAGCTCAGTAGTATATCCCAATTCTGAGGGTGGGGCGAATTCCAAATCCACAGGAATATGGGGTTCAATTTCTTAAATATTAAATTGTAGGTAATAATAACGTATAATAGTGATGAAAACCCTAAAGAGGGCGGACGATCCACGATCCACCAATCACTATCCTCTTTTATTCACTATACAGATTAAACTTCATAATCAATATAAAAAACATCTTTTTAGAAATGTTATTTAATGCTATTGGTATAAAATAATTAACATAAACAATATTTTTGGGTTTTTCATAACGCTGATTTCTTTTTAATTACATCAAAAAATGTTTAGTTTTTTTAATAATACCTAGATAATACGAGTAAAATAAATAATAAACCTGAATTTATAAATCTTTGTGTTTATAGGGCTTCACCTATATTTGCTCTATCTGTGTCTCGTATACTATAATATAACAACAAAAGCATTCCATATTTCCTCGATAGTAACTCTCTGTCGAGTTAAGGACAAAGAAACCTATAATAAATTTTATCCTACGAATAACCTTTTTTAATAAGTTAAAAATAAGAAATAAATCTGTACACTATCTTGATAAAAATTAAAAACGTTTAAAAAAAAAAAAAAAAAGAACGTTAGGATTCACAGTAATAATTACTAATCTTTAAAAATTATCTTTTGGCAAAATTTCAAATACGCCAACGTATAATAATAAAATACTAAAACATCTACTAGAATTTAATATATAGTAACAACGCGACCGTGTAAAGTTTCGGAAAGCGAATTTTTCGTCTGGAAAGTTTGAAAGCCTATTTGGAAACTATTATAATGAACAAAGTAATACCTATATATATTATATATAGGCACAGTATAGCACTATAGCAACTTGACAACTCAAAATTGCTCGGATAAATTATTAAGAACGTCGTCAACTGTGAAACGATTTTAGTTACGACATAATTAGTATATTATACAGTATTATATTATTCTAAATACCCGAAAAAAAATTTAAAGAGAATCTATTGCAGATTATATATACAGTGAAATATCACCGAGAGTCTAGTTAAAAAGTCCATATGGAAGTCAAATTCGTAGGTACTTATATAGAATAATTATTATTATACTTGTGTGGTTGCATATTTTCGACGGTTTTCGATATTAGTATTATTTGTTAATTCCGTTCGCATTCGTCGATCGTATACTGTAAAATAAAAACCAAGGGGATTGTAGTCATCAAAAAATGAATGGTATTTAGACCGAAAATTTATGGACAAAACTGTAAGTTTTAGGATTTTTTAAAAAATGGATGGGGATTGATTAACAATTTTACCTATATAGATTTGAATATCCAGTATCGTCCATTAGATGAGTGAAAAAGTTGTTATACCGATCGTCATTCGATCCGCTATCGGAATCATGATGTTTTTTATATTCAGAGCAAAGCGATGAATGTTTTAGTTTTACTGTGATGAGTAAACAACTTTTCTATTAAAAATCTTGCACTAATCAAAAACGCCATTATAACTTTTTCTATAGTATTTCTGATCTAATTAGTGCACCATGAGGTTATTTTCAATTTGTCTTGTATTTTGCTTAATAAATTGGTAAAACTGTCAATGTTTATCGAGACTTTTTATTAGTCAAGGTAACTCAAACACATTAGCGACAACGGCAAAAATGCGACTATAATAATAAACTGCTCAGAATCGTTTTTAATTATCAATGGTTTATCGTTGCATACAGATATAAAATAAATAATTTTCTATATCAATTTGTTTAATACATCCGCATATATTTTAAAAATCGTATAACATTCAATATATTATTTGTCGACGACTAAAATTAATTTCGTAAAAATCGTCGAGCATACTATTTATCACGGTTGTTTCAAAATGATCGTTTCTCGAGACGAGGGAAAAAAAACTCCATTGTAGAACTGTAAAACTGACCGGGTTGCACTCAGAATCTTAAACGCGTGTAATTATAATTATAATAATAATAATAATATAGCACATTATGATTACAGGTCACGATTATTAAATGGTCTCCAAACGACTGGAAATTATATTCGGTTGACGTCGATAATTCCGTGTGCCAATTCGACCTGTTCACCGAAAAAATTATAAAGAACATTCATCAAAAGAATCAAAATATTACCGATTTAACCGTTTCCCCAAATTCAAAATCGTTATACACGGTTGACAAAGACGGCCGGATCAGAGAGATGTATAGCACAACGGTTAGTATACGTTATACTTATTTTCCCAGTACAAAATTCGGTTCATCTAACCGGAATACTTTAAAAACAATATTTTTCG